TTTTATTTCTATTTAAATGAAAGATTTACAAATATTATTAGAATTAATTTTCAAGCCAAAATACCCGAACTTTAGAGATGGCACCCGCCATTAATACTTGGACATCCCTTTCGTTTATCGATTCAGCCTGTTTTCGCCACATTCTGCAGAACTCGTTATTCTTGAAGCAGTGCATTTTTTTTGTTTTTTTTTTCTAATTTTGATTTTATATGGGCCCAAAACGCTCGATCGTTTGCAGCTCTGGGCAATTCGGAGGATTGGCCTCTTTTAGTACAATGTTGATTCCATTTTGTGTATAAAACTCTTGCGCTTTTTTGCACAATGGCTTGTTGCCAGATCAGGCCAAACCAATACAGGCTCTCAGAACAATACTCCAGGAGCAACAACACGTTCAGAAATATTCGGGTTCCTTTTCAAAGTCCTTAAAACATCCTTCTCCGCTATTTTATTTAGACTGCCTGATTTTCCGCCAGATTCCGCCTTTCTCTCAATGCTGTCATTTTTCTTGATATTTGACAATACATTTTGAACCGTCGACCTTCCAATTTTCTGTAATTTTACTAACAATTTTCTTTGCTGAAGTTCTTTGCTCTCCACATCACTTATTTTTAAAGTTACGCATATGAAAATTAACTGTAAGAAAAATCAACGATAGCAAAACCAACACACTAATTAAACGGCTGATCGAGTGGTCGATAACAAAGTTGTGCTATGTAGTGCTGCCAGATTTCAAATGAAGTAGATCTTATTTTGGCAACATTACATTATATTATACGAACGAAATCAAAATTTAGTTACACCCCCAAAATAAGTCAAGTTTCGTCGAATGGTTTCACATAGGCCTGTGTTAAAGGCTCGAGTTAAAGTTTTGTTAAGAAATGATGATAAAAACCAACAAAAGTGAATAATAATAATGTCTTTCGTCTTTTGAGTGGATGAAACTTTGAGTAGCAGCTGAAATGCGTGGAACAGTCAATATACGAACCGCCATTCCTGCAAAAATCATTGGACCATGTAGTCTATTTGTGGTATATTGGAGTACATACAAAAGCGCCCCTCTATCATGCTGTAACAGTCCAACTCGTGTCTCTGCACCAGCTTATTGTTACCCGATCACTTCTCATATTTTAACAAAATGTGATTCAAGTTGAAGATTTGAAAGCACATTTGCATGTCTGGCTGTAGCTAAACGTGCAGAGATGCTTGCTGTTATTTGTTAGCTCCCAGCGGGTTCGCGTTCGAAAGCCGTCAGAGGCATCACATAATTTTTTATTTTTATTTTTGTTTTTGGTTTTTATTAATTGCTTAATTGTTAATATGTTGGAGTAGTTTTGACTCCTTGACCCTTTAAATGCATGTATGGATTATACGCGGTTTTTGCAGGGATGGCGCGCCATATTCTTCAATTCTGTGGACGCTTTTTTGCCATGTGGAAATATATATTTCTTCTATGCCGTTCCACGCAAAATTTTTAGCTCGCAAATCGTCTCTACCTTTAGAGTTTGGTAAGTCCACCATCACATTTGCATATATTCAAATTGGTACCCATATCATAAATTAACTGCATCGCAATTAGATAATCTGATGGGTTTAAACCTTGCGGCTGACTACTGAAGTCAAGGAAACTAACAGCCAAATGTATTGGTTTAACAGAAATTTTCATGCTTTCATCAAATAATGTAGAAAATATTATATGTTACAATAAACAGTAACACTGCAAGCAATGTGAAGTGAGCTTATCTGCAAAAACTGCGCAAGAAATGGCAGAAAACTCGACAAATTTTATTGAGCTTGAAGTTTTTTTTTATTGAGCAGTTTTTAATGAAAAATTATTGTGAAAAAGCAGCAACTATTTGAACAAATGGTAGAAGTGATAGCCATTTCAGAAATTATCACATTTCTTCATCAGACTTCTTCAGTGGGATTCGAACCGACGACCCCAGCTGACTCAGCCAGCAGAAAAAAATTATCAACTGATTAAAATAACCAACTTCTGGTAAGCTTTTTTGGGGGAGTTCGATAAATAACCAACTTTTAACTAGCTATAACAAAACTAACTTTAAGTTAGTTGTAAAGTCGTGCAAGGGTCGTGCGGACGTTATCGGGAGTTTGTTTTCATTACAAGTTTCTATTTAAATATCCACACAAAAATTACTTTCAATACACTTTTTTTCTAAAGTTCGCAGATTCTTTTTCGTATTCAGGACAAATAAAAGGAAGATCGAGAATTTACAATATCATTTTGAAGTTATGTCTGACGGTGTTCGAATATCGGACCACCTACAGCAGAACATGTAAACAAATACGAAATGTAATAAAATAAAGTAAATAAATAGAAAAGTGAAAAAAGCAAAAAAATATTTTGTTCTTCTTATTGATATTTATGTCCAAAAGTAGTTAGCTAGAAGTTAGTTGACATCTAATGCAGCAGAAACCAGTTCTCACTATTTTGCGGTCATCGCCCTTCAAAAGTGGTTAGTTACGGCCAAAGGAAATAATTAATAAATAGTTACCACTAGTCGATTGCTAGTTAGTTTATAGTTAGCTACAAACTAGTCCCCTTTCCTGCAGGGGAAGGCTGACGTTTTTTTATCGTGTGTTGTTAGTTATCTCGAAAGTCACTTTCAGTTTAATAACAACAAATTTGCCTATAACTTACAAATCTTTTTTCACAATTTACTGACATTGTAAAAGAGTTTCGCATACGAGGCATAGAGTGAGATACTCCTTTTAGCAAAAATTTAGTCTTTAAGAGTTTTTGCGTAATTGAAAATATATTGTACAATATTTGTATGCCCCGATACAAACTGATATATCTAACAAAAGCCATGGAAATCCTAATTTCTTACTCTGTACAAAAATTAGAAAAATTCAAAAAAGTTACGCAACAACAATCAGCCTCATTGGAAGAGTCGTGTGGAATGCGAATTGTTTTTCGAGAGTCGAATCGTATCGAAAATTTCGTGTCATTTCCTAAAATTTCCACTCGACTAGTGTATTAAAACGGAAAGACTTGGCAGCATTGCATAGCTCTCAACGAATTTCGTCGTTTAGTTATTTCAGCACGACAGGAGCAGTGTTGCCGTTTTAGCCCTTTGGTGGCTAGATTTAGCTACCACATACTTTTTTTTGGCCACATAAATTTAAAATTGCCCCTAGCCCTTTTTTTAGCCCTTTGGAAAGTTTATTGATACTTGGCATGAAAAAGTTGTATATGCTTAATTTGATCTCATTTTTTTTATCTATGTAAGAGATGAATTTTTAAACTAAGAAACACTGATATACATATATGTATTGTATGTTCCTTACGTTTTTATACTACTATAGCTTAAAATAGATAAGTTTACGGCCCTTAATATGCTTTATTTGTTAAATGGCCCATCAAGTCGATTGACCGTGTATGTTCTTGTGGTGTGATTGTACCAGCTGCTGGTGTGACTTCAACTATTGAAACTATTTGAAAAGCTGGTGTCGTCACTGGTGAAATTAGCTAAATTTTCTAAGTAAAAAGTATTTTGGCGGAAATTTCTTGCCCTATATGGGTCAAAGCCATGTTTGTGGAAGATTAAGTTCACGATATAACAGTTGTGAATTTAAAAAAAAAAAAAATGTTCAAAAAAATGGTAGAAAAATTATGAAATTTCGGCTCTAATCATTTCGATCTTTCCTCGACCTCATTTGTAAAGAAATTAATATTTTACCAGCATGCTGGTAAGTTATATGCTTCGAGCCTGATGGTACAATTACTTGATGGAGCCAGCAAGCTGGTGTCGTATATTTCCTCTTTTATACAAAAAGGTTTTTGGTTGGATAAAATATTAGCTTTTTTTCCAGACTTCATTGTTTTACTATACCATTACTTATTGAAAATGTTTGCGTGTATACTTATATATGTATATGTAAGTATAAAATTTAGCTACCATTTTTAGCCACAACGACATTTTTTAGCTCTTTTTTAGCCTTTTTTTTAACGGAATTTGGCTACCGCTAGAAATGATTCGCGGCAACACCGGACAGGAGACAATGCTGTCGAGTCGTACAATTTAGCCCAACCTACGACTTACGCAATGAGACTGAATATAATAGTTGTTGTCCACAATTTGTTTTGTATGGAACGTGAATTCTTAGGCTGTGGAAACTTACACCTCATTATTAATATAATATACATTATAAATACAAAGTTTGTTGTTGCGAAATTATTTTAATTTCTCTACATAGTTTGAAATGTGGATTTATGTGGTTTCAAGTATTATATAATTAACTAGACTTAAATAAAAAATTAATAAACATTAAACAAAAGAAAAGAAAATAGTCAAAACTGGTCAAGACGTCGTGTCTCTATTTTTTTTTTACATAACAGTATATAGGCGCTTATATGCATTTTTATAGCGCATTTCCACGAATACTGTGCATTAAAAAATTTTAGTCAGCAAAAAAGTATAAACGCAGTATTTTGGAAAAACCCGCGATATGCATTTTTGGAATCCAAGAAAAAGGTATTATACTGCCTAAAAGAGTATATGTATGTAGATACGAGCGTTAAATATGTAGTTTGCTTCCTGGCGCAAAGACAGAAATCGGCTTCTAATTAAATTTTTTTAAAGTGAACTGTACTGAGAAGTACGGATTTTTTAGCATGAAAAAGTCTAACGTACTGATTTAGCCCATAAAAATCTGGCAACCCTATCGTAACTTTAAACCGAACTTAACTTAGTCGGAGCTGCGCGCAAAAGCTGGGAAATATATGTATGTACATATGTATATAAATCACTACGCATTAAAAAAAAAACTGTTGATAGAAAAGGTTAATACTTTCAGAAAATAAAATGTAAAATACTGTGTGCTATCAAGCAAAATATTTTGGAAGCTAAAATCGTTTTACAGCAGAAACCAAATGAATTAAGTATTCAAATTTTAATCCAAGTTTGCAAATAAAAGCTAAAATGAAATAAAAACCAGTGAATTTTTACAAATAAGTGATAATTTTATTTCGAAGTGAATTTGTGGAATTGGTTGTGTGTCAAAAGTACAAAGTGTAAACTATTTTAAATTTCCACATTGGTAGAGTCAAACTTTATTCGCATTATGAATGATTATACGTATATATGTACATATCGTCACCTGAAATGCAAAAAGACGTAACAACATCGTAAATGAAATGGAAAAAGTTGTGACAAATATTTTAATTTTTTTTTCATAAAATGATGTGGAGAGTTGTAATTCGATGAAATCCATCATATTAATCAAAAATTTCATTTTCAATTTTTATTAGTTATGACTTTTTGCATATCAGATGACCATATGTAGATGCATATGACTTTTTTAATATTATATCGCTAGCTTAAAGTGAAAGGTTGTTAAGTCTATTTTTACGAAAACTTACATCTTGCTACAGGACGCATGGAAAATTAAAAAAGCAAAAGGGACTGAATTAATTATTTTATTTTTTCTCATTTCTGTACGAAATGAAAATTTGCTAAGTCCAAAAAATGACTAAAAAATCAGATAAATTCAAAATAATGCCAAAGGTTTCTTAGCTTCGAGCTTTGCCATTTTTGAAAAATATTTGAAGAAAACGAGTTTCGGAAATATTTCTTCTCTATTGTAAAATTTAAAAAACTGTACTTAACCAATTTTCACTCTGAGCGAACGATATTTACCTATGAGTAGAGAACTAGGAGCGATAAAAAAACCAACAAAAATAACGCTTTTGTGAAAATTTGCTATAAAAAGTTCGCCCAGGGTATTGCGATAACGTATTTGTAAAAATGGTATATATACATATGTATGTACATATGTAGTATATATTATCGTCGATTTTTTGCAATAGTGGCATATATATGTAGTGGTTTACATACGCTCCCGTAGTAAAAATTAAGACATATTTTCTCCTAATGAGCTATTGTTAATCAATACAGCTATGAAAATGTACATACATACAAATGTAAGGAAAATTCCATGTCAACCGAATTATGACTGCGAATAAAAATTTGTGCCTTCAATTTTTGGTCGCAGTGATGATTCGGTTGACTCGGAATTTTCCATACATATCATTTTTTTCAGTTCCACACATATGCATGCACATATGTATGCATGATGTAGACAATACTCAAGTAAAAGTAAAAGACGCCATATATTCTTTTTCGGAGTTTCCTACGTGACCTGTTTTACCAAATATTGTTACAAACATTATTCTTGTTAGTTTTCAACCACTCCTCATTCCCTACTCATAAGTATATACAATACTAAAAAAAAGTCATATGCCTAATGTACATAGGTATGTATGTATGTATGTATATATCGTCGGCGATACTGCAAAACGGTCTATGTCTATTAGTACCCTTGACACTAAGATGGTCTCTTGCTTGCACCGGACGGCATCTGCAAATCGTTACACTCTAATAAACGAATAACAAAACTGTCTACCTTTGGCTGGTAAAGATGAACGATTGCCAGAAGCAATCAAATACAGATAACAGATCAATTAAGCACCAGAGGTAATAAGTGACATAGAACGTTTTGCAGTATCACCGACGATATATGTATGTTTTAATAAATATACATGTATCCTCCGTAACCGTTCACTCACTTCCGTTCTCTAAGTGACGTACATACGTAATTATTTATGTTTATCTCATAATGCATGTACAATATTTAATTGTTTAATGTATTTATAGTCAGTTTCACATAAAAAAAAATCAACATTACAAAGATATAATAATAAAAGCTTTTCATTTATTTTAACTTAAATTGTTAGGTTAGTTCAAATTTCGCATTTACTTTAACATATATTTACTCCGTTTTTAATAATAATTATCGGCTTAAATATAATTAATAAAAAAATGTAATAAAAAATATGTTTAGTTTTTCTCTTGCTTATTGGTTTCTTTTAAATATAGCATTATTTATAAAAAATTTTTTGTCAAAGGCTTTTTTGTAGACATTCGTATGTATGTGGGCTAATGTGGTTCTTGCATTTGTATATGTGCGGGTGCTTTTAAGTTAAACTATATATTTATATTGGATATTTATGTTATATACTATGTAGATTGGGCGTATTCAGATAATGATTTTACTGCGTTTGTTGTTGTATTTCAATCTTCTCCACTGTCATGTCTGGATTCATGGCTGTCGCTTCCTGTTAATTGCAAATAATGATATAAGACAAGTAATTTTTAAGCCAAAAACAAAACCGACTTCAAATCTCATATAAAAATTTAGGAGTACCGTTAATTTTTTCATGATCCAATGATCGGATCTAAACCAAATTAAAATGGGACCACCTCTGAGATACTACCTTTGCAAAAAGAATTTTCGAAATCGGTTGACGTGGCCCAAAGTTATGCGGTAATATACATAAAAAAAAGAACATAAAAAAAAATATTCCGACGAATTGATAACCTTACTCCTTTTTTTGAAGTCGGTTAAAAAGATAGTATTAAAGTGTATGCTATGCGATTTCGCAAAATGTAAAAAAAACTAACCTGAATTGCCTCAGCCAATGCTTTGTCATGATCAATTGGATCGCCATCTGATTGTATGGTGATCTTCTGCTCTACTCGCGTTTCCACAATGCCATCACGTTCGGTCTTATACTGTAAGTAGAGATTTGTGAAAAACGCATTATTATACATTTGAATATTGAAAACACTGTTTTTTTTTTGGAATTGTGCATATATTTAATCAACAGTATTGTTCTCAAGAGAAAACAAAGAAAAGCACGTTCAAAACGTGCTACGAAAATTTAGCGTAGCGGTTGTCAGAGTTCCACTGCTGGTCATAAAAATCAAGTTTCACCGGCTTTGCTAAAAACTTTGTAGTCGAAATATAGAATTGAAAGAAGACAGTTCGAAGTTTTAAAACAGCCAGTCTTGCAAGATTTTAGCATTTTTACTACATGTTTCCACAATTTTATAAGAAAACTTTTTCATATTAGTGATGTCTTTTGACTTTGATAAAATTCCCTCTGATTCGTTAACGGCATTTAATGAACATTAAAGTTAAGTAAACAAAAACCTTTACTTAACATTTAACTAATGATTTTGACATTTTTTGTTTGTTTCCAACAAATCACATTTTCTATAACGTTGCTGTAACAATGGCAATGGCCCAGTGGGCAGAGCACTTTCGTGTCACTCAAAAGATCCGAGTTCGAGTCCTAGGGCAAGAAAATTTTCTTTTTCCTTTTTTTATTTCTTTTATATCGACATCTTGAAAAAGATATATGCTTGCTAGATATTAAATTGTATAACCTTTAATCTAACATCTCAATTGCGTAAGCTTTATTTTAGTATTTGATGGCCTATTATTATTTTCCTGGAGCCTGAGAAAATATATGTATCACCATATTACAAACGGCTGTTATTTTCCCATATAAAATCGACCCAGACAAATAAATTTATTCATTTGAGTTGGAATTAAAAATGTGGTATGTATGTACATTGCACTTCAATTAAAGTCTAACCTTGCTGAAATTTACAAACTCTTGAACCTATTTTCGAACAAGTTCTACTTGTGGTTCGAGCCTGCAGATAAAACCACTTTCGACTGTACAAAAGAGTTCTATGTCTAAAAAACAATATCCACAGCTAAATTCTGCCAAGAACATAGAAAATATATAGACGATGTAGGCCTTGTTATGTTCATCTACCTGAGCTTGGCTATGAAACAAATAAAAAGCGAATTTAAAGTAATGCAAAAAGGGTAGTGTAGAAGAATGTTTATGTCAAAAGTCGAAGTAATCATCTCCGATCAAAATTAAAATCGTATCTTGGTAACTCCTCAACTCTTCGAGATAACTGTGATTTTATTAGACTAACCAGAAAAAAATTAAAGTGCTTCTTTTTTGACGATCTTGACTTTTTCGCTTTCATTATGGCTAAAAATTATCCCCTGAAAATTCGGTCCAAAAATATTAACATTTAGAGGTTTCGCATGCCTCCGCCTCAAGTGGTTAAAATTACTCTTCCTTCAATCCGTGCGCACACGAAACCCTTCACGAAATTGAAGTTTTTTAATGTCTTCCAACATGTTTTCAAGGTTGCTGAACAAATTGGGCAAGACCATTTGTCGATCTGACTTTTACATTTTGAGATATTATGAAAATATCTTTAAAAAACCGAGAAAAACCCGGAAATCCTTAGAAAAAATTTGTAATTTTTTATATATGTATGTATTATGTAAAATCACATTCAGGCGTAATCCTTAATCCTTCATTACATATGTACATACCCAGCATAGAATTGGTAATCGCTTTTAGTGGTAACATGTTCTAGAAGGCATAGCGTTATAATGCCTTCGAATTTTTTCGCTTCTTGTAGGCATTGGCGGTATTGCAAAGTAGAATGTCCTACAATTTTTTATTTATTTCTCTTCTTTGTTTCATTTCGGGGAATGCAAAGTAAAATGTCCTATAATATTTTATTTGTTTCGCTTCTATGCTTCATTTCAGGGATTGCAAAGCAGAATATCCTACAATATTTTATTTGCTTCGCTTCTTTGCTTCATTTCGGGGAATGCAAAGTAGAATGCTGCATCGTAATCAGTAGAAAAATAGAATGAATATCCGAAAATTCTTTTTCTCCCGTTACTTTCTGTGGAAATTTGTCTCGCATAAAAATCATGTTTTGCTTTGTTCAATTTGCAGCGAAGTTGAAGTCAGTCAATGAAGAGAAGTACAAGAATGAGGAAGTACAATTTTAAGATTAATTAAATGCATGTATGTGCATACATACATATGTATGTATGTATAAAAACTGATTTATAAAATTTTTAATCTTCTAAGACAATCTGTATTTACTGTTTTCAATTTAATATATATAAGTATGCACTTATTTAGGCATTCTACATTAGTTTCTCTTTAAGGCATTCTTTGTTCGTTTCTCTTGATTTTATTTATCCATGCGTTCTCTCTTCGCTCGAAGGTAATGCTGCGGGTAAGGGCTTATGGCCAATGACATGCCCATGTCAAAATAATGCCTTCTTGAAGCGAAAGGGTAAGCGATTCCCATCGCCTAGCTCGTTTCCACTTTCGTTTCTGTGGTAATCGTGATTTTTGCTGGGTACATTTATATTTGAATACAACAAGTACTCATCTATACTAATATATATTTTGAAAGCCGTTTTTCTGTTCGCAAAGCTCGAGATCGGCTGTACCGATTTTTTTTAAATTTCGGTTATAGGTTCTGTATGGGCTTCCCATAAAACAATGGTTAAAATACTTCCCTAATAACAATATAGTTTAAAAAACTAAAACCTCCCTATTATAAAGGCCGTTAGTACTGTCATCAGGTATGTAACTTGAGAATAGAAATCGTTGCATCTTTTAGGCGCATCAATATTACATAGTAACATCCCGAGCTAATAAATGGAAGGTAAAAATGGAACTGCAAGACTTTAAAAATCCTATGAATCTAACATACATGCCCACATAACAGCGCTGAGAGCGCCATCTGCTGCTAATTCGTATGGAATACAGCGCAAAGTAAGGGTTATGTATACTTATACATACGTGCTAAGTTAATTGGAGCTTGGGATGGGGATATATGAAATAAATCCCATACTCTTGGATACAAATTGGAGGCATTTGAAAAGGGCGCGTGGCACTTCCCATACAAACCGACTTTTTCATGTTCATGGTAGAGTACTGAAACTTGGTGTGGAGATACATAAAATCAATTGCATACCCTTGCAGGGCTATTGGAAAAGAGGGCGTGGTACCTCCCATACAACCCGAATATATTATACAGCATATATCTGGAAGCGTTCTGGTAAACTTTTTGAACTTGGTACGGAAATATATGAAATAATCACATACTCATGGAGAAAAATTTGAGTTGTTGGAAAAGGGCGTGGCAACTTCTATACAAACCGAAATTGTGATACTGTATATCTCTGGAAATATTCATGGTAGAGTACTGGAACTTGGTATGCAGATATATGAAATCAATCGCATACTCATGACGAAAAATTCGGACTATTTGAAAAGGGGGCGTGGCACCTCCCATACAAACCGAATTTTTGATAATAAGTATCTCTAGAAGTGCTCATTGTAGAGTACTGGAACTTTATACGGGCGTGGCACCTCCCGTACAAGAAGAATTTTTCTTATTGCATATCTCTAGAATTGTTCTTGGTAGAGTACTGGAACTTGGTGTGGTGATATATGAATGAATCGCATAGTCATGGAGAAAATGTGGAGCTATTGGAAAAGGGGGCGTTGCACCTACCATACAAGCCAAATTTCATACTGCATATCTCTGGAAGAGTTCATGGTACAGCACTGGAACACTTCGTATGGAGACATATGAAATTAAGCCCATACTCATTGAGAAAAAATAGGCTCTTTAAAAAGGGGGCGTGGAAAAGTACAAACGTACTGACTTTTACTTATCTTTGAATGTGTATATAGTTTTTCTGTAGGTATATTTGTGAGTCAAATCCTAAATGGCTGGAGGGATTTCAAAAAAGTTTTGTGTGTGTGTTTGAGTGGGTCTCTGGATAGTTTAGTTTCACAATTTAATCCGCCAGTTGGCGCTGGAGTTGAGTTATTACTAAAAATCTGTTTATGATCCGATTTGGTGAATATTCAAAACATGTATTGGAATCGGTAAGGCAGCCCAATTACAAAAAACAGCTATCAGGTGGTGCTGAGGTCGAGTTATTACTAAAAATCGACAGGTGAGAAAAGCTGCCGTAAATGTCAGACTTATTCGACCTGTTGCATTGCATTGAGTATATCGAACTCTCGTGTGTTATGATGGCCTAATCGACGTGATTTGCCAATATTATTATGCGTTAAACCTTCATTCGAAGAAACAAATCACCACCTGTCGAAATACCTTAAAAGCCAGTTTCATGAAAGCAATTTAATGGAAATTTAATTTTTTAATTGAATTCAATATAGAACCTGACAGAAAAAATAATTTTTCACTTAAATTTGAATTTGCCACCTACTATAAGATAAAGTTTCTAGGGCATATATACTATAGATCGTGATCATTGTTGCCACCAGGGAACTTCTCATGGACATAACACTTTCGTTCGGTTATTTAAGGCGGCAAACGACCACCAGTATAAATCGTAAATGTGGATTGTTGGAGAAAATGTTGGACCAAAATGTTTAAGTTAAAAATCTAATTTTAGGCGGGACGAAGTTCGCCGTGTCTGCTAGTATATGTATATAGTCTGTTTTTTGGAAGATGAAATTCATTTGCATTTCAACTCACCGTTATAGTTTCCACAGTTCGCGTTTTACTGCTGAGCGTTTGGGTTGAAACTATTTCGCCATGTCCCGAGTAGCCAGGAGTGTCTTCTCCCAATATGACGCGGGTCTGTTCAACATGTGGGCCTGCCGTAGTGGAGCTGGTTCCAATCAAAGGCGAAGGCTGTTAGAATGAACAGAAATTCTGTAGATCTTGAAACTTGAAATTTATTCAGAAGTATACTTTTGTATGTACAATGTATATTTGTAGTACTACGATATAAAAATATTGGGTTGAAAAAATATGGTTTTATGGATGCTTTTGAATCAATGTACGACTACTATATTAAAGGAAATAAACAGCTTGCTAATAATACATACCCACCAGACAATTTTTGTTGCCGGCAATAAGAAAACATGTCGCCCTCGGCAACAACTTTATTGCCGGCAATATCACCATCGTATCGATTTCTTATTATCAGTCGCTCTAAAACGTTCGCCGAAGGCAAATCGCAATTTTCTTATTACCTGAATGAGCCGTTTTCTTATCACTTTATTATTGCTATAGGCAATGTTTGGAAAATTTTTTCTGATTTAATACTTAATTTATTTTCGATTAAAAAATTACAATTTTAAAACGAAATTATTTGTTTCCTCCGCTACATAAGGCGCTTCCTATTTTTTAATCCTATCTTTGGCATACAATAGATGTTTTTGCAGAATACTGTTGATGCTAAATTTATCAGCTTGATTTTTATTGAAAACATATTACTAAAATTACATGAAAGAAATGATGTTGCCGATTTCTCACCATGGCAATAAATCGACGAGTCGCCAATTGATTGCCATTGACGATTGTTGCCTATTTTTTATGTTTTGCTTGGTGGGTATGTATGTATAAAAATATGTACATTCATATGTGCAATATTTAAGCACAAAATAATATAAATCAATGAATTTTTTTTCTGATTTGGCACAAACCTTGGAACTGGTCGAGGTACGCACCACACTGGACCCATCATATGGGCCGTCGATGGGCGTGCCCGAGTCGCCAGAACTAGTCGATGAAATACTGTCTCCACGGTCTCGGAACTACAGTTTACGGTAATTGCGTTTGTTCGATATTTTTTGAAATTATTTTTCAAACACATTCCAAACACAGGTCGATTTATTAGTATCATTTCAAATAACAGTACAATTAATGCAATTTACGAGTACGGCAATCAACACAGGCGATTTAAGGCGCAAAAGAATCGATATAAATCAATAAATAAATACAATGCAAAGTAAATTAAAGTAAATAAATTGTTAAAATCGAATATGAAATTAAGAAATTAAGTAGTATAACATGCAGCTAATTGGGAGCATGCAACGTGGCTGAAGGCGTTACAGAACTTGCAATCTTCGGCACGTTTACGCGCTCGTCGCTTGTCGTGTCGCGCAGTCGATACATGGTTCTTACCTGATCACCGCTAGTCACCGTTGCAGTGGTCTTTACTTCCTGTGTGACGACTCGCTGTTCCTGCTTATTAGGATCGTGGGTTCGCGTCGTCGCCACTGTTTTCTCTTCGAGTTGTTCGGTTTTAGCCTTCTTGCCCAAATCTTCATGGGTAGTGGCTGTGCGGGTGGTCACGGCCGTGGCGGTTACATAGGCACCGCTTACATCAGCATCAGCCTGGTTAGTGTAAGGTTTTCAATTGTTTAATGGATAAGTTAACATAAGGAAATGAAAGCGAACCAGGGTTGAAATGATACACATAAAAAATGTTGTAAGTAAAAATATGACGAATTCAAAATAAGCTTATTTAAAACATAAATATCAAATTTAAATTATAATTAAGTTATATGATTGCATTTAATCGAAATTTAAAGTTATTTTAGAATGTGTTTTTTATTTATATATTTATCATTATCTGCAAGTGGTCTTTAGAATAATCTGTAGTTTAGTGAAATGACAATGCTGGATAAGAGAGTACCATACACGAAAGCATTTTACAAAATTTTTAAAATTGTATCAGGGGCGGACCCAGCAACAATTCTTGAAGTTTCCCCTTTTTAATAACTTGAGTGGAATTCCAAAATTTTCTAAACCTTCAAAACTTTGTGAATTTGAGAAATTTTAGTAAACCCCGTTAATTCAATATAATGATGAATACTAGATTTCTAGAAATTTTTTTATTTTTCAAAAATTTTGAGAATTGTAGGAATTCTAACAAATTTTTTTTAAGTGAAAGTGTCGAATATTCAAAATTGGTCAAACGAAATTAAAAGTTTTCAAATGCTGAAAACATTTTCATATTTCGTCTTTTTTGAAAATTTAAAAAATTTTCGTAATTCTTGAATATTAAAAAAATTGTTGGACGTTGATGTTTTCAAAATTTTCAAACAATTTAAAATTCTCAAACTTTGTTATATCAATACAAAATTTTGAAAAGTCCAGAAAAGTGGAAAAAATTTTGGAATTTTTCAAAACTGTTAATATCTTTTAATTCTAAGAATTTTCTATTTTTTAAACACAAGTACATGAACATAAGAATTTTTCGACAATTTGTGATGTTTCACATTTTTACATTTTAGTATGGATTTTAGGATAAATAAAATTCTCAAAATTTTGGAAAATATAGAAAATTTCTAAAAACCCCATTAATATTGTACATTTCAAAATATTCTCATTTTACCAAAATTTCTAGAATCTCCCGGATTTCGAGTTTTTGAAATTTTGGAAATTATCCTAAAAATAAGAAATCTCAAGAAGTTTAATAATATATAATTCAAAATTTTTGAATTTTCGTTGTTTTCTGAACCTGCGAAAATATTCAAACTTGCTGTGACTGTCAACGTTGTAAAATAATACAAATTCGAAAATATAACAAAAAAAGTAAAAATTGAAAATTAAGTACATAATTTCAAAATTTTGAAAATTCAGTAAATTCGAAAAACTGATAGGCCTACTTAAATAACATAATACTTCGAGCTTAACACACAGCTAAAATTTCAAACTCCCCAAATTTCCCCTACCTGTGTCCGCCACTGATTGAATGAGCTATATAGATAGCATTAAAATTTTACTTTTCTGAAATTTTATATTTTTGAAACAGATATTCCGATTTTAATTAGATTTAAATATATTTTACAGAAAATCAGGCAACTTTAGTAGAAACGCCATAAATATTTTTTAATAGTTTTGTGGTCATTTCGGAACACAGTTTGGACAGTTTAACTAAAAAAATTTAATAAAGACTAATTTTGACAGTCAGCGCAGTCACTAACGGTGACTGATCATTAATTACCGATACGAAACATCTTTAACGAATTATTCTATTTAGAAATGAAATTATGTAAATGATACCAGGCTGAAGTTGCAACATTTAAACAACAAAAGGGGAACAAAAAACTCATGCAAAGTACTTACATACACATGAATATAATCATTTTACTACATTGTCAATTTGTGATTTACTTACTTCATTTTAAATCAAAGTTGTATCGCAGGGTCAGGCGATAATAGGTAAAATGATTAAGATTTCGAACGAAAATTATAATATGTAGGTACGGAAAATCTATTCCAACTATAGGCTTCTTTTTCTACTTCTAATACTCAATACTTACGAATATGAGTAAAATAAAAAGATGCGTGAAGCTTCACAAAAGTATTCAAGTTCTACCAAATCAGGCGGTGTCATTGCCTCTACTTCTTAATCATTCGAATCAAATACAATTCTGCTTTGAGTTATACTAACTCTGTGAAACTACCAAAAGTTCTCCAAACAAACTACAATATACGCATGGGTTGCTAACCTTGTGCTCCTGCGTTGAATAGGTAACCTCGCCTGTGCCCAAATTGCGCACCTCCTCCTCCACATTGTGCGTTACGCCGTCATCGTTCTTGGTTAGCACTTGTTTTGTGGTTGTCTTCACCACCGTCGGTGTGCCATATTTGCCCGCCTGTTTTGTTGTAGTTGTGGTCACCGTTGTGCCATCGGCTTGTTTGTTGGGGCTATTCAGGACCATATCCTTAATATTCTCACTAGCATACTGCTGTGCCATGTCATCGTCTGAACTGGCCTCCGAGTCGCGGCGCAGCGCATTTTTGCCCATGTGTTTGACGCCTTCGAAGAACTGCTCGCGAGTGATTGGAACGGTCTCGGTAGTTGTGCTTACTTGCGCCTCTTTGCCGAAGTGTGATGGATCGATTTGAGCGTAGTTGAGAATCAATTTGCCTGTCACTGGGTCACGCACTGCTGTGGCTGGATCGATGTCGCCTGTATTTGGATCGATGTCGCCATATTCGCTCTTAATACGTCCTGTCACTGGATCTATTTCGCCTGTTAGTGTCATTGTTTGTGTGACGGTGGTGCGTGCTCCCGCGAAGCGTGGATCATTGGGATCAACCTGTACAATTTCACCTGTTACTGGATCTATCATAGTATAAACATAAACAGTTTTGTTGAAGAACTTGAGAATTCGACCAGAGACCGGATCAATTTCACATGTCGCTGGATCGATTTCTTCAGGTCGGCCGCGCTCATCGGTCTTGGAGATGAGCAATACTCGAACAATGACAATTTTTCCACTTTTAGGGTCAACACGTCCGACTTTAGTGTACACATCGCCAGATTCGGGATCAACTTGGGTGGTGGCATAGAGCGGTTCGCCGGTGGTTTTGTCTACCTCTCCGGTAGCGGTGTAGATCTTACCAGAGGATGGTTCTATTTTGGTGGTGTTGGGGTCGAGTTTGTTTTGTTTTTTAATTTCGTTCGTTTTGGGATCGAGGTAACCATAAATCGTAATGACGTAACCGGTCTTTGGATCCACGCTGCTGGAAATGTATTGAGACTCCTTTGTATTCGGGTCGCTGGCACCGGTGGGCATCCAAATTTGATTCGATTTTGGATCGACAATAATCTCCTTGTCCTTCGCTGAGCTGACTTGAGCAATTGGTGCTTTCGTTTTCGGATCTACTCGTTGCTGAACAATTCGTAAGGATATAATCCGAGCGTAATCTTTATCAGGTTTGTTATTTTTCGGATTTATTTGATTTTTAAGCACAATTTGGCCGGTGGTTGGATCGATTTTGATATCACGTGTAACAGTTTTGCCGGATTTTGGATCGGCGAAGGTAATAGTATGTTTAACCAAATCAATTTGACCGTACTTTGTATCAATCTTGCCGGCCTTGGGATCGAATTGGCCACCAGAAGTTTCAACATGAGCTGTTTTTGGATCAATGATGTTTTTCTTCGAATCATATTTACCAGCAAGTGAAGTAACCTCAACAATGGGATCAATCTGTTGACCAACTTCAATAATACGACCTTGAGCGTTATCTAGTTTACCAGTTTTTGGATCTGTGACCCCCAATATAGTTATTTGGCCTGTGGCTGGATCAACCTTCACGTTTTTGGAGACCACAATTTTGCCTGTTTTCGGATCGATAGCTTTCAACTCGCCCGTTCTGGTATTAATTTCACCGTATTTTGTGTCAAGCAGGCCTGAATCCACATTTAGTACTCCAAGAGAGCGTTCTACTTCACCGTTGACTGTATCAACTTTGCCTGTAGCCGGATCTATGCGACTTGTGATAACAATGAGTTCCACCACGGGATTGTCTTGTGGCGTAATACAAATTACCTGTCCCAAACTCTCATCCAAACGACCGGTGCTAGGATCTGCAACACCAGACACTAGCTGTACATTTCCAGTTTTTGGATCAACTTCTCCTTGGTATAATTCATTTTTGCCGGTCTTCGTATTCAAGGCCAGTAGAGTGCCCTTTCTGGGATCAATTTGACCATACTTGCTGTCAATAAGGCCGCTCTCCGGATCAAGTATGCCCGTGGAGTGCTCAATTTCACCATTTTCAGTATCTATGCGCTTCGTGCTTGGATCAAATTTTGATGTAATTACCATAATCTTGACACGCTTCTTCTTGGCCTTAACAGGAGTGGATCCAGCAACAGAGCCTGCAGCCAACCCACTGCCGGCTTTTTTAGGAGAAACTGGTGTGGTAACCCTTCCTTTTCCAGCCGCTGCTGCATCAGCAGGACTGGCGGGGCCACCTTTACCAGTTCCAGTACCAGAACCAACTGATGCTTCCCTGTTGTAACGCTCAGATTCGAGGAAAGCAGCTGTGGGATCGACCAGTGGCTTATAACTGCCAGGAGCACCTGAAGTGTAACCAGCTGCTTGGCCCTTAGTTGGCGAATAAGATCGTTTTTGTGCATCGGACAACGGCGACGCGGCTGCATCAACGGCACTACCTTGCAGCTTAGCACGTGTTGTCGGCGACAGATTTGCATCTTTTAAAAGTTTCGCGCGACTCGTTGGTGACAATTGGCCCTTGTTTATCTTATCACGCGTGCGTGGTGATAGCTGGCCGCTCTTTAGTTTCTCTGCGGTCTTCTTCAGAGTGTCATCATGGCCAGGTGCATAATTGAATGCAATCGCGGTCTTCTTTTGTTCAGCAGTGGGTGACAGCTGTCCCTCACCCTCCTGACCAGATCGCTTACCACTCTGCGGATCCTGGTCATAACGGAAACCACCAGGAATGTAAGATTTTCGTGTGGGGCTTGTTTCACCTTTACCATCTGAGTATTCATAAGGCCTGGTGTGTCCGGGTTGACGCGAAGCTCGGTTTTTATCATCATTAGCTTGATTATTAGGCTTACCGTGTTCAAGTTCAGCGTAGACCAACTCACCACTCTTACCATCCTTTTGCTTGGATTCTTTGGTCGGGGAGCCGCTCTTGCTCTTGCGACCGGACGAGAAAAAACCACCACCCTATTGTGCCGAAAGAGAATAATTCAAATGCGCAGTGTAAGAGTGCCCAATTGTTCGTTGTGTTTGATGATTATTTAGAATCGCATATTGGTTGTGTCATAAATGTTTCCAATTACATAAGGAAATAAAAAGAAATACATGTAAACGGGGATAAATAAAAAGTTTACCAACAATAAAGTCAATAAAAATTAAAAACTTAAAAATACACTACAAAAATGCTTAAGCCCGAATAAAAATTCTCTACACACGAAATATATGTAGAAATGTACGTATTTAACTTAAAATATGCAATAAGAATTCAAAATATTAACAAGGGCAGAGGGACACTACGCTACAAATGAAAATTCAAAGAATTTAGAAAGCATCTTGTAGACATATGAATGCATAATATGCCAGTGGGGATCACAGTACACCACATCGGATGGAGCGATTTGGAAACAATCGTGCTTTATACACCTCTCGCATTCTTGGAGTTTTTTTTCAGAAACGTTTGTCATTATTATATTCCCGGAAAAATATTATATGGGTTATGCGCTATGACAGACTAGGTTTTAATGTAATTAGGTTCTTTGTTTGTCAAAACCCAATTTCTGTTTGTATATACATACATACACAACCATTTTCAAGAATACTTACACGTCCTTTGCTGGACTTTTCCGATTTGCTAGAGTCATTCAAGTCATCGTTACCTGAAAAGAAAATAATTAGAAATGGTTACTTTTTCTTATAAATTTTAACTCACCATTGATGCCTTCAGCTGCAACACTTTTAGCTGCCTTCTCCTTTGCGGCTTTCTCCTTGGCAGCCTTCTCCTGGGCCTCCTTTTCTTTCTTCTCGCGTTCCTTGCGTTCCCTCTCCTCTTTTTCTTGTTGTTTCTTCTTCAGTTTAGCCTCCTTTTCCGCATCAGCCTTTGGTTCGACAAGAATGCAAGAAAACCATTAAAATTTTTTTTGTTTTTTCATTCATAGACAGACGAGTTTTAAAAGCGAGACAAGTTTTCGACAAAGCTTAGCTGAAGTCATTACTTTGGAAGCCTTTTCATGCTCATAGTAATTTTATAGAAGTGTCTACATATAGGTAAGTATGGAAAAGTGTGTAATATGCATATGTATAAATAAAAGTTTAGTAGCTTTAGAAAGCAGCGTAGTTAGCAATTATAGATGTACGTATTTATTTATTTAGATTTAACAATCAATATCGATGCAGTTTCACTGTAATAATAACAGTAGCTTACAGCCAAACAAACTGAAGAACGAGACCATCCACCTCCCATATAAAATCGGTCGCTGAGACCCCAAATCTACGTAATTTGTTTTTGTCATGTAGTTTTCGGAATATCGCCACATACAAAAGTTCTAATATCGGTTAACGGATTACCGATCAAGCCAGAGTATATCGCGGGCTTATATTCCAAATCATCTACATATCTGCAGTTTATACAAAAATAATATTCCTATATAAAAATTTGACTTAACTGTCATCTATGATGTTAATGCTCTCCTTGTATATCGCTTGTCAGAAGAACCAACTATTGAATTTAAAAATTTTAAATTGCAATCAGTGATGATCATTAAGTCTCAGAGAGGTTCTAACATCAGAAGATGGTTTTTGTGTAAACTGCAGAAAGGTCGTATGGAATATAACCTCGCGATATATCAAAAGTAATTAAATTTTCTATCTTTCGTTTATAAATCATGTTTCACCAAAAATACACGTTTTCAAGACATTTACAAAGGTTAACAAAAAATACATGTATGTAACGAAGTTTAACAAGTTTGCCACACACAATGTATTTTTGTAAAATTCTTTGAAAATTTCAATCTATACTACTACTACTATACTATATAACTATATGTATGTAGGTCAGCGATGCTCAAAACAACACCTGCGGACGGAACTCTTCAAAGCTCACTGTAGATTTTATATAGACGCGCACATCGTAAAAGCTCTCTCTGAGCATCGTTGATGTAGGTAGAGATCCTTAAGACAATCCTGGATAACTACACTGTAGATAAAGCTCTTGGGAAACCTAACTGTCATACCTAAACAAATTCATCAGCGTTGTCTGGCTGGCAAAAAATTATCGTGCCCATACAATTTGTATGAAGCATACTGAAACAACGCGGCGTCAACACTGAGCGGTTGAAAAATCCGATTTTGACAGGGCGTTAGGTATTGAAAAGTTGGCTGCAGAAAACGGCGAAACCGTCATTTTCGTGTTACACACAAACAAACCTATGCTTATTGTTGGTGTGATTTCTGCATTTGACGTTGCTTGGATGTTTTTGTTTAGGGTATGGCACTTTCGGCGTTAACACTAGGCGTCCGAAAACGCTTCCAAAACGCGTTTGTTTAGGTACGGCAGTAAGAATTAAGTGGTTTTAGAGCGGTTCGTTATCTTTATCGCCTATGTATTTAGTACTCAATTTTAACAGAGAACAGCGGTGCGCGTATAAAATCTACAAAGAGCTTTGAAGAGTTCCGCCCGCGGGCGCTGTTTTGAGCGTCACTGGTGTGAATGTTTGTGATACATTTTATTATGTTTGCGTTCAAAATCCACAAATTTGTAAAACTAAAAGTTATTCGTATGAGAACTCCCACTTATAACTACGGTGAACATATTAACCAACGTAAAATAAAGGATATTTTTTCAAAAATGATTTGGGAAGGCGTACATACAACTTGTATGATAAAAGTACCTTACCCATGTCGTAATTCAAATATTTACCAGTAATAAAATAATCAAATATTTACCAGTTAATTATATTATTTAATTGTACAAGTTCCGCTGCTGTAGCGAAAAATGAAGCCAAATCATTAATTTTAAGGACTTCGTCATCATTTGCTACCAAAATGCGTTTACCATAATTCATACTGCACGACGAAGCCAGCACACAGTGATTCAAAATTGGAATTTAATGTTCATATTCCACCGCAACCTTCATTTTTCAACCGATTTTTACTAAAAACCAAAACAAAAATATTTATTTTGGTCAAAATTTTTTTATAACGTTTCCAATTTTTTTTTTGTAATTATTTTTTTGTTTTGTTTTGGGAGAACCATACAATGGTTTTCAACTAGGTTTTGTTATGTTACATTTATTAACTGGAACAGGAGAGTGTATTGTCTTAAAAATTGCTACTTTTTCTGCATTTTGCGCTAAAAAATTTATTATAATCAAATAAAAATTCAGAAATCAGGCTCATCTTGTAAATATTGTAAGCTTTCATAAAAAAAAATAAATATTAATCAAATTAAGTGAAAAATGAAGGCTACAGTGAATTACGAACATAAATTCCAGTTCTGAACCACTGGGCAGCTGGGGGTTTATTGTTCTCTTTCAGTGGAACTGGAAGCTCAGCGTACAACACGATCCTGGGCACAACTTTACTTGTGCTTGTACGAAGATTACCGATTAAATAGAAGCCCTTAAGTGGGGTGCGAAACAAACTGGCGAAGGTTTTCATTATATTTTATAAGGGACATTTTTATTTTTCATATTTGCGTTGAAAACTTTACCTCTGAAATGCAGAGCCGGTTTAAAGGACAGTTTAAGAAATAAAGGACAAAAAACGTCCTTTATTTAAAAAACAATATATAAAGGACAGGGGGTTAAATAAACGACTTTTAAAATAAAGGTCGATGGTCACCGTACTTATAACTCTAACCAACTTGCTATTGGGAATTGAATAGTCTTGTTCTTGGGCAAAAAAAGGCGTTACATAATTATTTGTAAGCCTGTGTAATTACCGAGCCGATGCTTTCTTAAGCCAACAAAGTACATAGATATGAACAAATGTATGTAAATACTTATTTATCGTTACATATCCTTAGGTACATATATATTTGTATGTACACATGTGCATGTACATATCTGTGTTCACATCACATACCAGCTTATACATATTTGAAAGTTTATTTTAGTGTAGTGTACCACTCCATTTATTATTTATCTACATATATAACAAAGATTTTCTTGATGAGAATACTGACAGAGGGTTTCTGGTATCGCAGTTCTTTCATTTTTGTTTGCCGATAGTTTTCTACGCTGCGTATGATACATTGTACTAAAGTCAACACAGATATATGAATAAACATGTACATACATTTGAGGAGGTCCATAAAAAAGCTATACTCCTACACTGAGCCAAAAGCACAATGGTTTTTTCAACCAAGTTATGGTTTGATTTTTTCATGGTTAATAAGCCGATTGTAAGAAATGTGATTCAAGTTGAATATTTGAGAACAAATTCGTATGTATGGCAGTGGCTGAACGTGCAGAGGTGCAACACATAATTTTTACTTTTTCTGTTTATGGTTTTTATTAATTACGAAAAAGCCTCTGTGAAGTGCAGAACCAAATTAAAAGAAAAGAAGAAAATTTATTCAAGTTGAACATTTGAAGGCAGATTTATAAAGCGACCGTAGCTGAGTGTGTAGAAATGCTTGCTGTTATTTGCTAAACCCGTCAGAGGCAACGTGTTAAAATGATTATAAAAATTTTTGTTTCGTATCTCCGAATTATAAAAAAGCATCTGTGAAGTGCAGAACATAAACGTATTCAAACGAAAAAATCTACATCCAAAAGTTTGGTTAATGTAAACAAGAGTGTGGTTAATATTACCAAATCATTGTTGAAAACATCAAGCAAGGCATTCGTTGCGTTTCGTTTACTCATTTCCAGTAAAATCCAGTAAAAGCTTTTACGAATTTTCATGTTTTGGCGTTTTCGTACGCAAAAACTTGCAAAGTAGGGGAAATTGAGAGAGCGAAAAATGACAGTTGAAGTTGCAAGTTTTTACTGGATTTTACTGGACAAATTTTTACTTGTAAGAATTTGCCAGTACGAAAAACAGCTGATCGCATGTTGCTGGATGAAATTTAAACTAATAAGGAAACTGTTTGTGGGTTATTATTGTGGAAATTCACAAAATAAACATATTTAAATATAAAATATATTGTTTTATTAGGAATATGCTGCGAATAAACACCCAATTTATCAGCTGTTCATGAAACTTGCAAATTATTACTGGAATAGCGTTCGCGGACTTTTTTGTACATTTTTTCTATGAGAGCGAATTCTTATAAATAAAGTTACTGGAGAGTTGCTGGCAAGTTACTGGATAAATTGTAAACAAACACAACTGTTGTTGGTATTAACCAAAAATCACGTTGATTCCTTTTCAAGTTTGAATTTGGTAATATTAAACAAGTTTTGGTTGATTTTTTTCTCAGAGTATCTGAACAATTACTAAAGCGTAATAACTACCCGATAGATACCTATTTATAAATAACAAGGAGTGAAAGTTACTGCGGAGATTCGGCCGTCTTTCTTTTCTTTTTAAGGGTGCCAAAGATTTTTTATTTGTATTGGTCCTCGTATAAGTAATCGTAATTGTCTTCGTATATCCTTACCATTCGTGTTCGTCATCGCCTTCCTACTCGTCCTTGTATTTTTGTTCCAATTCGTCTTCCTGCTCGTGCTCGTATTAATCTTCTTGTTCGTCTAAATCGTCGTATTGGTATTCGAATTCGTCTTCAGTTGCTCTTCGTATTCGTATTTGTCATTGTCTTCAAATTCGTATTCACTTTCTTATTTATCTTCGTGTTCAAAAACAAATGTACGAAGGAAAAAATGCGGAAATATTACGCCGTTAGATACCAAATACGACTCAAATTAAAGAGCTTGCAACAGCAACTACAAACAAATACCGCGATTTCAGCCGTATTTTTCAATAAATTGTGAAATCATAAAACTCTCGTCGTTTACAAAAAATAACTTCCTATGCTGTTTTTGGGTTCAAAATCGGTCTAGTAGAGCCGCCAAAGGCGCAAAAAATTATGTTACCGTATGAATCAACGGTGGGCAAACGCGGCTTTTTGAACCAAATGCGGCTCTTTGCTTAG